AAAAAGGTTATAACAGGGGGACCGGCAGGTGGCTTGGTGGTTAAGATGCCGGACTCCCACATGGCTGACTGCAGTTCGAGTTCTGGCCCTGGCGGCTTGCTTTCTCAATTTCCCCTTCTCTTGCTCTCTGTCTGTCTCTTTGGTCAAACTAAAAAAATAATAAAAATAACAAATATAATTAAATGAAGAAATACTTTTTTAAAAAACTTTTTTTTTTTAGAGGTTTTTGCTATAGGGTGCGTGCACTCGCCAGACAGACAGAGAGAGACAGAGAGACAGAAAGCGAGAAATCATCCCCTGGGGGGATGGTCACGCTGCAATCCCTTCTCCTCCATTCTCCTCTCGGGATCTTGGGCACGCACGCACACGCGCCCGGCGTGAGTTTTAAGCCACCAGGTCCAGGATGCGAACCGCGGTTGACTACGTGGGAGTCCAGCGACTTAGCCATTACGCCAACTGCTGGTCCCAGGAAATAATTTTTAAAAAAAAGTCATAACAGGAACCAGTAGATGGAGTAGCGGTTACATCAGTGGACTCCCACATGGCCAACAGCAGTTCGAGTCCCGAACCTAGTGGCTTCAAAATCACACCAGGCATGCGCGTGCCCAGGATTCTGGGAGAATGGAGGAGAAGGCATTGCAGCGTGGCCATCCCTCCTGGGGGTGATTTCTCCCTCTCCCTCTCACCGTGTCTGTCTCTCTCTTCAGCAAGGGCGCACACCTTAAGGCAAAAACCTCTAAAAGCAAAACGAAACAACAAAACAGGACAAAACAAAACAAAACAATGTAAAAAGCCATAATGGAGGCATTTTCCTCTAGAAGCCAAATTCATCATTTTCTGGACCTATCTGTCCCACTCAACCAGATTTCCACGGAGGTCAGCAGATGGCATAGTGGTTATGTCACTGGATTCTCACATGGCTGACTGTAGTTCGAGTCCCGGACCCAGGTGTGTGTGCGTGCCCAAGATCCCAAGAGGAGAATGGACAAGAAAGGATTGTGGTATGGCCATGCTCCCTGGAGAATGATTTCTTACTTTTCCTCTCACTATCTCTGTCTCTCTCTGTTCAGCAAGTGCACGCACCCTAAGGCAAACTCTCAAAAAAGAAGAAGAGGGACCAGCAGTTAGCGTAATGGCTATGTCGCTGGACTCCCACGTAGTCGACCACGGTTCGCATCCCGGACCTGGTGGCTTAAAACTCATGCTGGGCACGTGTGCGTGAGTGCCCAAGATCCCGAGAGGAGAATGGAGGAGAAGGGATTGCGGCGTGACCATCCCCCCTGGGGGGTGATTTCTCGCTTTCTGTCTCTGTCTCTCTGTTTGTCTGGCGAGCGCAAGCGCCCTATAGCAAAAACCTCTCAAAAAAAAAAAAAAAGAAGAAGAAGAAGAAAAGAAGAAATAACATGAAATAAGCAGGTTCTTGGGCCGGATGGTAGCACAGCTGTGACAGACTGCACGGGAAGGTTCTCAGTTTGAAACTGGAGACCTCCCTGAGCACACCAGGCCCCCTGCACCTGAGGGGACTTCAGTGGCAGGACCTTGTCACAGGCAATGTTCTCCGTCTCTCTCTGTCTTGGTCTTTCTCACTTGTGAAATAAATAAATCAATAAATCAGAAGAAGAAGGAAGAAGGAAAACAGGAAGGGGGAGGAGAAGAAGCACCAGGCTCCTGGGTGCTCAGAGTGGCCACACATCCTCCCCTACCACTGCAGGGCCAAGATGTCCCTGGGGAGTCAGCATCGGCCTGAGGGATCCCACGGCCTCAGCACGAGCAAGGGCAGACTGTGCCACGCACTGCCCAGTGCGTCACAGAGCTCATGTTCTCCCTGTAGATCGGAGCTGCCGGCCCCTCGCCCCGTTTTCATGGGTGGGCAGACAGCCCGGTCCCTGTCCTGTTGTCCCCGGGTGAGTGCAGGTGCCTGCTGAGTCAGGCCCCGCCCTGCACCCACTGGAGGTTCTGGAATGCAGGGAAGCCGGATGCCACGCTCAGCTGCTGAGCTGGCTCCCCTGGGCTGGCACTGTCGTCCCATGAATCACCCCCCCACACACACAGGACAATGAGGTCACCTCTGAACGAGGCCTCCCTCACGCCTCTGGCAGTTCGTTTATGGCCTCGAGGTCTGCCCACCGGGAGCAGGTAGGAAATGCCTTGGGGAGGTGCCAGGGACGCATAAAACAGGTGCTTCCGGTGCAGAGAGGGCTCCCAGAGGGCAGGGCCTCACCCGGGACCACGAAGCAACCAGAGGGCACTGGCTGGCTTGTGCGCGGCTCCTACTAAGCGCGGGCGTTTCAGTCTTTAGATGGCAGGGAGCATTCTTTTTCCGGTGTTTTTCAAACTCGAGTGGGCATCAGAATAGCCTGGGAGGGGTTTGTTAAAATACAGATTATGGGGCCAGCAGGCGGCATGGTGTTTACGGTGCCGGACTCCCACATGGCTGACTCTGGTGGAGTCCCAGACCTGGTGCTTGTTTTCTGACTTTCTCTCTCTCTCTCTCTGATGAGTGTTCTATAGCAGGTTAAAAAAAAATAGATAAATGAAATTAAACAAATAATTATTTTATAAAAGATGGATTATGGGGACTTGCAGATGGCATAATGGTTACATCGCTGAACTCCCGCAGTTGACCACAGTTAAAGTCCCGGATCTGGTTGCTTGAAACTCACGACAGGCACATGTGCGTGTGTGCCCAAAATCCTGCAAGGAGAATGGAGAAGGGACTGCAGTGTGGCCATTCCCCCTGGGGGATGATTGCTCATTTTCTGTCTTTCTGTCTCTCTCTGCCTCTCCAGTGAGCACATGAGCCCTGTAGCAAAAATCTCTAAAAAAAAAAATGAAAAAGATGGATTAAAGGTCCAAGAGTTTCTGATTCTATAGGATTGAGCCAGGGCCCAAAGTTCTGCATTTCTAAAGAGTCCCAGGTGCTGGGACCAGCAGTTAGCATAGTGGCTATGTCGCTAGACTCCCATGTAGTTGACCGCGGTTCGAATCCCGGACGGTGGCTTGAACTCACACTGGGTGTGTGGGCGTGTGTGCCCAAGATCCCGAGAAGAGAATGGAGGAGAAGGGATTGTGGCATGGCCATCCCCCCTGGGGGATGATTTCTTGCTTTCTGTCTCTCTGTCTCTTTCTGTCTTTCTGGTGAGCGCACGTGCCCTATAGCAAAAACCTCTCCAAAAAAAAAAAAAAATCTGGTGCGTATTTTGGGGTACATCTCCTCTCAAAAGGTACCTCTCCATAGCCACGTGGGGCTGTGGCCACTGTTTAGGACAGTGCTACGCTGAGCTTCCACCACCCTGTCCCTCCTGTTCCCGCAGCTGTGGCTCCCCTGCTTGGCCAGGGCCTCCCCTTCTCGGCTTCCCACCGACTCACCGGGGCCAGCCAGGGAGCTGTCTGAAACCCAGGCCCCGTTGCCCTCAGGAGAGTGTGTGGCCGCCTGGTCTGACCGGAGGCCACTCCTGCTTTCCCTCCTGCGTCTTCCAGCCCCCGTGGCCCCCATTCTCTGGCTATAAAGACTTATTCGTGGACCCTTCATGCGATGGTGCCCCTCACGGCTAAGCCCTTGCACACACAGCTCCTCTGTCTGGAAAGCCCTCAGAAAACGGCTGCTGCTATTTTTTTGACAGGGTCTTGCTAAGTCGCCCTCACTGGTCTAGAACTTGCAACCCTCCCGCCTCAGCCTCCAGGGTAGCTAGGACTACAGGCACACGACCACCGTGCCTGGCTTTTTGGGGCAGGCCAGGAATCAGACCTGGGCCTTCTGGCTGACAGCGTCTGCCCTCCTGTGCTGTCACAGCTGAGCCTAGCAGGTGTTTGGTGCTCACCCTGCAGCTCACTCGTTCATTCGACACGATTTACTGAGCACCTATGGTGTGTCAGACACTGTTCTAGGCCCTGGAGCAAACAGATACACAACAAGGAAACAGGCATCAAATGGAACATGACGAAGCAGGGTGAGAAGGAGAGGCGGGGAGGGGTGACCTTTGTACATGGTAGTCAGGAAAGGCTTCTTGGAGAAGGTGGCATTTGAGTAGACACCTTCGGAAGTGGGGGATGGAGCCAGGTGGTTTCCTAGGGGGTGAGCGTTCTAAGCAGAGGGACCGGCCAGCACAAAGGCCCTGAGGGGGAGGAAGCTTCCTGAGGTTCTGGGGCAGAGTGAGAAAGGAGTCTGGGTCAGAGAGGCAGGGGCGTGGGCAAGGGGGAAGGACCCTGGGAAGGGTGCTGAGCTGACTCAGGTCCACACAGGATCCCTCAGCTGCTGTGAAGACAGCAGGGGACAGGGAGCCAGGATGGCATTGGCTAGGACACAGAGGTGGCCACAGAAGTGGGAGAAAAGCCCAGATTCGGGATGTGTTATAGCTGAGGCTGACAGGATTTTCCAGATGGGTCAGGCACAGAATATAAGAGGGCAAAATGTCAAGGATGGTGCCAACATTTTGAACCTGAGCTTCAGTGTCTGGATGACCCCTCTTCCAGGAAGCCCTCCTGGGAGCCTAACTCCCTGCACCTTTCCAGTGTCCTTCATGAGGATTTGTCCCTGTCCTGCTGCGGGAGTGTCTGATAAGTGAGTGGGGTCAGCTCCTGGCCTCCCTGGGCGAGGTGGGTCCTCAGTCCACGCCCCTGCCAGGACCTGTGTTTCACACCTGCACACCTGCACAGGGCCTGCGGTGCTCTCTAAGAGGCCTCTAGCTTCAGCCCAGTTCCCTCCGCACAGAGGGCACCCTGCACCCCAACCTAGGCTGAGTCCCTCCCGCAGAGCTGGGTCTCCCCTCCCATGGGGCAAGTTGGGACACATGGCTGGGCCTGAGTCAGCCCCACCAATGGGGAGAGGTTCCCGGGGCACGCCCGCCTCCTCCACCCAGAGCTTGCCCAGCTGCCCACATCACCTCCTCCGTCCAAGCATGGCTCTGGCCTGGGGGCGGGGCCGGGGTAGCTGCCCCCACGGGGCCCTCTGGGCTGTGGTGGGAAGAGTGGAGTCAGACAGGAAGGCCTGGGGCTGATAGCTCTGGCAGGAAGGAATGCCACCCCGGTGAGCAAGTGGGGCCCAGGGGCAACGTCACGGAGCCCCGCCCTCCTGCTGTCAGTCAGGGGAGTGGCCTGGCCTCTCCTTCCCGGGCTGGCCTGGCATCCGCAGTCTACACTCAGCCCACCTTGCTGCCAGGCAGGCCGAGGGACCTCAGGTAATGGGCCAGGGGCCAGGGTGGGGACAGGGTGACCGGTTAGCTTTGAAAGGACTCTGGGAGAGACAGTGTCCTCCACAGGCTTGGCACTGTGTGGTGCCTTGGCGAGCCCAGGTTTGAATCCCAGCTCTGCATCTTGCAAGCTGGGTGAGGACCTCAGTCTGCATCTTGGGGGAAAATGAGGGGAGGGCAGCAGATACTCACAGAGATGTCGCCAGCCGATGCCTGGCCATGGAGTCCGTGAGTGGCTGCAGTTCTGTCACTGACTTGCTGTGGGACTTTCAGAACGTGGCCTTGCTGAGCCTCAGTTTCCCGGTTTATGACGTAAAGGGTTCGGCTAGGTGCCGGAGGGCTCCTCTCACCCTGCTGTTACAGGACCTGACAGCTTTGGAGGGCCAGGGTGTCCCCCGGACGTCAGGCTCGGTGCGGTGCCTTGAGCAAAGAGCAGAGGTAGTCCCCCCTCCTGTGCTCCCCTCCTGGAGGAAGCCCCGTGAGGCCCCTGGGTAGGCCTGGAGGACCTGGGAGCATAAAGAGGCCAGTCGACTCCTCTGGGCGCAAAGGCCCTGCTGGGAAGAAAACCCTCACCTGGGGAGCTTGGCCTTGGGGGAGGGACCTGCTGCCCGTTGGACCCTCAGATACAGTTGGCGTGGCCCAAGGGTAGGGGTCGCTTGGCAGGTGCCTTCCCCAGGCTGTCATCCTCGTCCTGGAGCACCCGTGGCTTCCAGCACCCCTGCTTCCAGGCTTCCAACGGACCTCTTTTCCTTTTAAGGGGACTGAGAAAGGTTTGGGTCTTGTGTTTCTTTTTCCTTGTTTTGTTGCAAAACTGCTCGGAAGAGGGAACTAGCAGTTAGCGTAATGGCTATGTCGCTGGACTCCCACGTAGTCGACCGCGGTTCGCGACCCGGACCCGGTGGCTTAAAACTCACACCGGGCACGTGTGTGTGCGTGCCCAAGATCCTGAGAGGAGAATGGAGGAGAAGGGATTGCGGCGTGACGCGGCAGGGAGTGCACTCAGGGGCCCCAGCCTCTAGAAGGCAAGAGTGTTCCCCAACACTGTGCCTGGCTGTTCCCAGATCCCCAGGAAGGGGACCTGGCACACACTGGCTGCACTCCTGGGACCCCGCGGGACTGTCCTGCCGGCTGCCTTATTTCATCTCGCGACAGCTTCGTGGTGAAGTCCTCTTTCCTTCCTTCTTCCTTCCTTCTTCCTTCCTTCCTTCCTTCCTTCCTTCCTTCCTTCCTTCCTTCCTTCTCTCTCTCTTTCTCTCTCTCTCTCTCTCTCTCTCTCCGTCTCTCTGGTTATAGACTGCCTGTGCTTGCCAGAGAGCCAGAAAGAGTGAGGAGGGGAAAGAAGTGAAAAAGCACTTCCCAGTGGGAACGGCCATGCCTGATCCCTTCTCCTCCGTTCTCCTCTTGGGGTTTTGGGTACGTTTTTCAGTCTGCCAGTTTCAAGACTTAGGCCATGCAGTCGGTCATGTGGGATCCAGCTACTTTGGCTCCAGCTACCTTTGATTTTTATTTTTTTTTATTTTATTTATTTATTTTTTTTTAGTGTCTAGGGAGATTTTTACTACAGGGCATGTGCACTTGCCAGAGAGACGGAGGGACAGAAAGTGAGAAATCGGGGATAGCCACACCACAGTCCCTTTTCCTCCATTCTCCTCTTTGGACTGGGCACACACGCACTTGGACCAGAGTGAGTTTTAAGGCTCCGGGTCCGGGACTCAAACCATAGTTGACTACATAGAAGTCCAGGGATATAACCATTACGCCATCTACTGGCCCTGGGATTCAGCTACCTTAACCATACATCACTAGTTGGCCCCTCATCTTTTTTTATTATTATTTTTTTATTTTTCAGAAGTTTTTGCTACAGGGCACGTGCACTCACCAGAAAGAGATAGACAGAGAGACAGAAAACGAGAAATCACCCCCTGGGGGGAAGGCCATACAGCAGTCCCTTCTCCTTTCGGGATCTTGAGCGTGCACACACAAGCGCACCTGGCATGAGTTTAAGACACCGGATCCGGGACTTGAACCGCGGTCAACTACATGGGAGTCCAGCGACATAGCCATTATGCCCACTGCTGGG